ATAGTTTGACTTCTCTAAGAAGGCCGCTACTTCTATGAACCACTGACGAATGCGATTTTCTCTAAGGCCATTTCTTGCAGATGAGAGGTTTTGAGAAATCTTTGGAGCCAGTTCTTGATGCCTTCTAAGAAACAATTCGTACTATTTACGTCCAGGCTTATTGTCTGTGAAATTATTCGGCCTATTCAGTTCTTTAACCAATAGCTGAATACTATCTAACAACATTGTTTTTGTTGCAGGAAATCCACAGGCTGCAATCCGAAATATCCATGCTACCAATACATTTTCTTCTTCTCTTGTTAGTATGGTTTCTGGTCCACATTTCTTCTCTAAAGCCTTTAACTTTGTCTTGTAGGGTCGACTTGGGTACTAATAACTTACTAGTTGCTTTAAATGGCATTCCAGATCGAATGGGGTTAACAGCTTTATTTAGGTCTTCCACAGAATAGAGAATCGGTTTTTTCTTTTCCATTGTGGTGAAATTTAAATCTAAAAAAATACATTTCTAATTATCGGCACGTGAGTGTATGTATTATCGGCACTACTATTATGTCAAAGTTAGGTTTAATTCCAATAAAAAAAGGGGTGCCGAAAATTGGTGTAAAATCTCGTGCCTTTATTTTCCATAGAATGACCAAACACTTCTTTTGGTACCTTAAGGGCTAAAGACAAAATCAACCTAAATACAGTTCAATGCGTATAACCAATTATCGGCATATCTGCCGAAAATTGGATCATTCACTAATATTTATGTACCCATTTTCGGCACCCATTAAATACTCATAAAAGCTACAGAAAAGCAGTTTTTGACAAGCATTTAATAAAAATAATACATCCTAACTATATGAGACCCAATTAAACGCTTATAACAAACATTATTCAGAAGTTATAACACAATATAGCTTACCTGTTTCTTAACACGTACACCAAGAAACGCTTTATACAAGAGTTTAGCGCGAACCGACCAGTATATTTTTGATAGTGACAATTACTGATTTTGAGAGACAGTTGTTCGATTGTGAAGACGCGTAGATAAAGATTCGCTGAAGGTCTTGAAATACTTTTATTTAATAATCTTGCCATAGATATCTTATTTTTTGAAATTATGTAGAATTAGTGCCGATAATTGAGGTGGTGCTAATAATAGGTACGTTTACCTTAGGTATTAGAGCTGTATGAATAATAAAACTACCGTATGATCGTACATACATACATACAGCCGTTACCCGCTGACGAGTATTCGACACACATAAAGAAAATGGTCACGCAAGGCGTTTTCTTTCATGAGCTTTTCTGTGACTGAAAAGCCCGATACGTGATGTTATCTGCCTACCGCACTCCGGACATTCAAAAATCTCATTGCTTTGTTGCCTCTCTACTTTTTGGTTGCCGCTGTTAACTGAGTTTACAACCCTTCTCCATTGAGTTCTATTGTGAGCTGCTTTTTCCCACTCATTCTGCATGTTAATTCCCTTTAAATTTTCGTGGAAAATGTCCTTGTATCTTTTCAGTTGTCCACCCGGCCTCCTCTTACCGTCCACAAGCTCACCGTAAAGCAGAGATTTTGGTATGCGGTTTTCTTGCATTCTGCATATGTGACCAGCCCATCTTAAGCGGGATTTTGTGACCATGACTTCAATACTCTCGCAGTTAGATCTTTCAAGGACCGATACGTTTGAGACATGATGGAACCACCGGACTCTTAAGAGTTGTCTAAGGTGTCTCTGTTGCAACTTGTTCAATGCGTTCATGTGTCGGCGGTAAGGCACCCAGGTTTCGCTTCCATATATCATGGTGGGAATTATAATTGCTCGGTATACTGCAAGTTTTGTTTTTGTACTCAAGTCATGATTGTAGAAAACCCTGTCTTTTAATTTCCAGAATGCTCTTGAGGCGCTACTAATCTGTGCTGAATTTCAGAGTCAATATTGGCCTTTTCCGAAATCAAACTGCCAAGGTAATTGAATTCCGCCACATATTCGAATAGTTCTTCTCCGATTTTTATAGCATTGTTGTGATCTTCCGGGAGTGCACATGATTTTAGTTTTGCCGATGTTCAGCTTAAGGCCCAAAGCCTCGTATGCCCAGGTATATGTGTTCAACATTTCTTGTAATTGTTGTACCGTGTTTGCAACTAGAGCGCAGTCGTCAGCGTATTGAAGTTCTGTGATAAATTTTGTACGTGTTTTGCCCTGAGTCTTTTATGTTGAACAGACCGCCGTCATATCTGTATCTAATGCCCAATCCTCTCTCCTGCAGTTTGCTGTCCACTATAATGGAGAGCGCTGCCATGAAAATGTTGAATAGGAGAGGCGCTAAGACACATCCCTGCCTAACTCCTGTATTTGTTAGGAATGGGTCGCTCAGTGATCCATGATGTGACACTCTTGACTTGTTGTTGTTATGGAGGCTTTTTACACACTGTAAGAAATTTGTTGGGTACCTCGAGCTTTTCCATAATTGCCCAAAGCGCATCTCTGTTCACAGAGTCGAAGGCTTTTGTTAGATCGATGAATGCAACATAAAGTTTAGACTGCTGCTCTTTTACTTTTCCTGTAGTTGACGGATGGAAAATATGGAATCGACAGTGCCGCGGTTGGTACGAAAACCCGTTTGCGATTCTGGAAGAATTTTTCTATATGTGGGTGCAGGCGGTTTGACATTATTTTTGCAAGAATTTTTCCGCCGATAGCCAATAGCGAAATTCCCCGGTAATTTCCGCAGTCTGATGCACTTCCTTTGTTCTTAAATATATTCCACTATATTCGCATTGCGAAAATCCTGAGGTACCTCTCCGCTTTCCCATACGACATCAAAGAGAGCCTTAAGATGACCAATAAGTTCTTTACTTGCACACTTATAGATTTCCGCTGAATATCGTCACAGCCAGCTGATTTGTTGTTTTAAGCTGTTTTATGGAGGTCTTTATTTCTTGTTCTGTTATTGGGATGTCTAATACATCGAGGCTGTTATACTGAGGTATTGTGTTTAATGCTTCCATATTGGGGTTGTTTTCTTGGTTAAGGATATGGCTGTAATGTTCTTTCCAGCGATTTCTAATTTGTTCTTTCTCTTTTTAGAAGTTCGCCATTTTGAGCCATGATTGGGCAGCTTACGCTTCTTAGTTGGACCGTATACTTTTACAGCCTCGAAGAATTTACGATAATCGTGATGCGTGGCGTACTCTTGAATCTGATTCGCTTTTTGTGACCACCAGTTATCCTTTACTTGGCGCAGTTCTCTTCGAAGCGTGTTGTTGGCTGCTTTAAAGTTGTTTACCAGTCTTGGATTATGTGGATTTGCAGTGACGGCTTGATATGCTCTATGCTTTTGTTCTAACAAAGCCTGTATATGCGGTTGATTTTCGTCAAACCAGTCTGGTTGTTTCTTTTGTTCGACTTTCCCAGTACTGCTTCGCTGGTTTTATGAATCGCATCCTTAATTGTGTCCAGCCTTGTTCAGCTTCCAATACTGAGATTGAAGTTATCGGTGGAAGTGATTCTTTGATGGCTTCCCGGAGGCGTCGGCGGTATTGTTGTTTTCTAGACCCCGTGCGTTCAATCTGGTCATGTTTTGCTTTTTACAGCGTGGATGTTTGGGTTTTAACTGGATTTTCATTTTTGAAATCAAAAGTCGGTGGTCAGTGCCGCATTCGGCATCTACTCTAGCTTTTGTGAGCCTAACATCTTTTAGATGCGTCCTTCGAACGATTATGTGGTCCAATTGATGCCAGTGGCCTGATCTAGGATGTTTCCAGGTACCTTTAAACTTGTCCTTCAACATGAACCACGTATTGGTGATGCAAAGATTATACTCTGCGCATGTTGTTAATAAGCGTTCACCATTGCTATTTGCGTTTCCCATTCCATGTTTTCCCAATACGTCAGGCCATATTTCCTGTTGTTTTTGCCTACACGGGCATTAAAGTCACCTAACAAGATGATTCGTTCGTGCTTTGGAATTCGTTGAAGGGCATTTTGTAAAGCTTGGTAAAATTTATCCTTATCTTCAATTTTAGCGTCAAGGGTGGGAGCGTAGGCACTAATGATGTTGACGTAAGTTTTGTCTGATATGGGGTACCTTAGGGTCATAAGACGTTCGGAGACACCAATAGGTACTTCTGTTAACTTGGTGGCGATTTCGTTTTTGATCGCAATGCCTACACCATGAATTCTCCTGTGTGTTGCGGGATGACCTTTCCAAAAAGAAGGTGTAATGCTCAATTGAGACTACCTTCATCTGCAAAGCGTGTTTCGCTTAGAGCGGCAACATCTATATTTAATCGGTGGAGTTCCTGTGAGACCAGTGCTGTTCTTCTCTCTGGTCGATTTGAATTTATCTTGTCCAGTAGAGTGCGAACGTTCCACGCCGCGAACGTGAAACATTGATGTTTTTGTTTCTCCGATGATACGCTCGAGTAGGCACCCTCCCGGAGATCCGATTGAGGGGTATTTTACCTCCGGACGATAATTTTGTCCCACTCCGAATGTTCCATCATTGCTGTGTGTAAGCTGCGTGAAAAGGTTTAACTGTGGCGGTTACGCTGCCGCACAGTTTTGGCTGCAACTTTGTAGCACGGGATGGCTATGGCACATTGAGGGACTGCGACGATAGTTCCCTTGTGCTACGTTCTCGGCCGGCTAGGTGTATTTTATTACTCCTTTTCCCCAGAAGATGGTAGGTCTGAGGGTTGTATAAGGTTATACCGCCTATACTCGGACGTCAGAGCCTCGTTTGTGTAAACAGGGTGCACCACGTGAAGGTGAGGTTGACTTTTGGGTAAGCTAGGCTATATGTATCGCTTCAATACCCCTTGCACCCCCGTATGATCGAAAGAAAATACGGCGTCCAATTGGCTTAGAAATGACCACCGATGACATTCCCAATATATTTTTCCATATAAAATGACAGCGATCTTCGTTTCATAGCCATCCCTGACGCCGTTTTTTTTCGCATCATATTGTATTTTATTTAGAAATAAAAAAATGTTAGCAACTTACCTCGTATCGGCTGTGACAGTAGAATGCGAATCTCTTCTAGTTCTACTGTCTTGTGCTCGATTTATAGATGCCCTTGATTCGTAGAATACCACTGCAGGTGCGTTGTGGTAGGCCAACTCTCGTGATGCGCATACAAAGAAGTACGAAATGGCAGCCAGAGGCCCAGCATAACTAAAAACAAAATTGACTAGTTTATTAGAATTGATGCCTAAAACCAAACTATGCGTTTTCTTTTAAGATATTCATAAACGCAAAATTTATACAGTTATTTACAGTATGATAAAGTAAATATTACAATAATTATTATGACCAGTAGTAATTGAAGTATGTATTATACAATTCTATCAGGTATATGTAGTAGGGTCAGACAAATGATTAGAAATTGAACAAGAATAAAAACAAAATTATAAATTAAGAATACATGAGAATAAATATTAAAATAAAAATATGGAATAGAATAAATAATATAGAAATAGAAGTAATATAAGATATATTGCGAGGGGTGTTTTACTTGGCTAAAATGTGCATGTACTGCCAAAATATCATTTTACTGTCAATGACTGCGAAAAAGACTGCCTCTGTCTGCTACATAATTATAGACGACTGCCATAAGACTGCCAAGAAAACGTACATGTAATTCCAACAATGAAATACCGTATCAATATTTATTCCACCTAACAATTATATTCCAACCCCTCGAAATTCTGTATCAATATTTTGAATAAAATCCACACAATCATATCTAACAAAAAATATGATATCTTGAATTAAATATTTAATTAAATATTAATCTACATATCATATGACCGAAAAGATGCAGGGTCACAGTGACCTTTGTATCGATAACAATTTTGTTATTGAAAAGTCATATTATTATTGTCTGTTGGTTGTTAGGCAGTTATTCTAGCAGAGATGGTTTTAAGTCCAGAAGTTGTATCCGCTATAGTTGCTTTAATTGAAGATGATAGAGAACAAAATTATGTCGCTAGCAGATTTAGGTGTGCACAAAATATACTGCAGTCGCTTTCTCGAGACAAGTTCATATGCTAGACGTCAGGGAACCTTCTTATAAGAACTTCTAATCGATTTATTTAAAGCTAATCGCTAAGAAACCGTAGTTTGCCATCTTTTAAAATTTGTATTGAATTCCCCCTATGTAACGTATTCAGATGAACCAAAAAACAAACTATCGAGAAAGGATATAACTTAACATATTCCACAGGGTGTTTCAAACTCTTTAAAACAAAAGGATTAAGACAAGGGTGTTGCCTGTCACCAAGTTTATTTAAAATATACGTCAACCAAGTTTAAAAGCAGTGGAAAAGCAAGTGTAGAGGCATGGGCATACCAATAAGTGAAGATTCTTGCTTATACACTTTGCAATTAAAGAGGAATACCAAGTTTGGGGGCTGGAAATAAATATTACAAGAACTAAATATCTCTGCTTTGGATCGGATCAAACAGCAATAAAACTCGATAATTGTAACGAATACAAATAGCTAGGCGTTATTTTCGATAAATCCGGGAAAGACGACAACGAAATAAGCTCGAGAATAGTCAAGGCCAGAAATGTAATAAAATGTCTGTATAATATACTCTGAAGTAACGAAATAAGTAAAGACAGAAACCTAAGAATTTATGATGCGATAATCAAGAGCTATCTGTTATTTGGGGCGGAAACATGGAGGTTAACGGAGAATGACAAAAGAAAATTACTGGCGGTAGAAATGGACGCGATAAGGAGATCAGCACAAATATCAAGACTTGATAGAGTACGAAACGAGACAATCAGAGACAAAATAGGTAGGCAGAAATTAGTTAGTAGTATAGTCAGTTATAGTAGAGGAAATAGAGAGTGCCCAACACGCGACTGCGTCAGAAGGTACTAAACTGGCTTCCACAACAGAGAAGGAAACGGGGAAGACCAAAGACAAACTGGATAGAGGGTGTCAAGAAGGCGATGAGCTCAAGGGATCTGCGTGACGGAGACTGGAATGAACGAAACCAATGGCGACTAGGCATCGCACAATGTCGAAGGACGTTTTAAAAGCGATTCTTATATACCAGGGGCTGGCAAAGGTTAGTCTTGACACGAGATTTACGTATGTAAGAAGAGTACAATGCGTTTATAATGTACTGAACAAAGAGAGGACAGTAAACACGTTGCCAAACGCATGAAACAAACCGAGAAACTGTGCACATCGCTAAGAGACGTGGAACGGGATATAGCAGATTTGTCGCAGTTGACCGGTCGACCCAATCAATACCTCTGTTAGTACTTAAAGTTCTAGGGAAAGGTGTAGGTTCTAGGGAAATGGTGTCATGCGTTCAGCTTCACGATTTAATTACGTCTCATGATACTTAATTTGTTTATTTATTAACGAGTCGTTGTAATTTTCCCTATAGCTTGAATTTTTTTAAGTGGAATTGAGTGGGTGTTCGATAGTGGTCGCGCTATTAGAACTCTGAATTCAAAAATTGATATCTCAAAATCTATTAGAAATAATAGATTGTAGATTTTTCAAGAACTTTGTTAATATTTCAGCTATATTTTCTTTGTAGACAGTATGTGAAAATCTTTATCAATAAAAAAATTACACGATTGCTAAAAATTGCTATGCTCTAAAAGTAAATGGATGGATTGTTTACAATTTTTGAATGGAAAAAACAACCTTATCGAATTTTTCTTATGTAAACATATTGTAAAATATCCGATCTTGAAAATAAAAAAAGTTTCAATATCTAAAGTGGTTCTTGAGTTATTGCCTGTTATGTGTTAAAAAGTTGAGTTTTTAAATTATCGCGATAACTGACGTTTTCTCGTTATAAAAAAAATGACACCCTAACGATATCCTTATAATTCCATTTCAGATGCTCAAAAACATGTCTAATGATTTTATCTAGTTATCTCTTATAAAAAAAGTCTTTTAAAAATAAGGGGTTTGCGATCGTGATTTTACTTTACTTGATAGGGAAAGGCGTATCGGCAACGCCGCAATAGCACACCGTCGCGCGTCGCGTCGGTCGGTCGCATTTCTCTCACTCCGACTTAATAAGATCCCTATGCTAATTACTTCCACACATGTAAATGCCGACCCAAAAGTAACAGTTGCTAGCACGGTATACCAAAATATCAACATTTTGTTTTTCTTCGTATAATTGACAGATGGAAACTCTCATTTTTAATTTAATTAAGAAAGAGATACTTAAAGTCAAATAGTTTAGCTACATATCAAAATCGGCCAACTAGAACAAAATATATTAAATTTTAAAAAATATCAAAATTTTTAGGTTCCGGTTTTTCATGTCGGGGAGTATGTATTTATTAAAAATATCATATTTTAATTCCTTTTCATTTTAAATTAATTAACTTCAAAACAAAGTCTAAACGTTTCAGCATAAAAGTTGGCGTTAATTAGATGCGATGAATGGATTTCACCGAATTTTCCGGGAGTTTATTATTGGAGCTGGAGTTTATGAGCTCTCTGGAATATACCACCGATCTATTGGATCAAGTTTGGAAGGGAACATCCGGTTCGGTGCCGAATCTGGGGCAACGGAAACAATTGCCTAAAGCTGGAGAGCGCCGCCCGCCCAAATATCTGGCTCTAACGTGTTTATTAAATGTCAGAGATGAAACATCAATAAAATGAAATATCCTGCTGAGAGCAGAAAAAGAGCTGGGAATGATGCTTTTAATAGACAGAATTTTGCAAGTGCGATTGTTAATATTTTTCTATTTCGGACAGGGGCGTAGATAGGTGTATGCTATGGGGGTGGTACTATGATTAAGTCGCAAAAAAAATCACCGTCGGAATTTTTTTGTCGAATTAAAACGATGGCGTTTTTTTTGTCTTCAAAAAGATATAAAAATATAACACAAAAATTAAAATATAGATTTGTAAATAACATAAACAAAAATGAAACAACGACGTTTATTAGTTAATTTTCTATAAACTATAAATAAAAAACTCTAAACTATCAAAAAAACTATAAAAACTATAAATAAAACTACAAAACAAAATCAAGTTTTCTAGTACGCTGTTTGGAAAACCTATCAATAACAGCATCAACATTTTTTTCAATATCTTTATGGATATTGATTAGAGTTAACCCCACTAATCTGTCCTGGCCAATAAGAACACTTTGTGTGCTTTTAATTAGGTCGAACATATTATAAACGATAAATCAACATAATTAAAAGCATACAAAGTGTTCTTATATGTCGGATGTCGGATATTAATTAAAAAAAATCCTTTCATAGTCAATGACTATTTCAATTCTCGTATCTCGTCAAGCGTCAGGGGGGGGTACTGTCCCCCAGTACCCCCCCCCCCCCTTATCTACGCCCTTGATTTCGGATATGAACTTTTGTTTTTGGCATGTGAAATTTGGAGATGTTCGATTGATAATGTTTTTATGTGGAGAATATTTTTATTAATTACTAGTTAAAATATCGTTAAATTTAAAATAGACAGGGTGAGTCTTAAATAAGTGGAAATATTTTTCGCTCGACCCCAGAATCAGTTTTTCCTGAAAACAAAAATTCAAAATTTTGTGTTTTTCAAAAAAAAAGTATCTTCTTTTAATTTTTAGTTAAAAACATAATATCTCGATAATATAGCAAAGATAATAAATATAGCAAGAACAAAAAGAAAAAATATATCTAAGTATATCGGGTCAAAAATTATAAACCAAAAAATATTGTATATTATACAGGGTGCCCCAATATTCCATAAACATAGAACTACTACGTATTTTCGGAATCAAAATAAGTTCATTCGATACAATTTATCTCTATACAAAAGTCCGCTATTTTTTCAAATATTTTAAGATCCGTTATTCCGATTTGAATGAAATTTTGGGTGTCTATGTTTCGCTAAGTGCTTTAACATTTGAATTTCACAAAAACCAAGAAAAAATACGGGAAGGGTGAAAACTACTCCCATCCCTACATAAATTTTAGTATAAATATTATCCAACTAATAAAAATAGTAATAAGTAAATTTTTCTTTCTAGTATCTACTACATCTTTTATCTCTTGTAAAAAAACGCCACATCCCATAATTTTTGAGAAACAATTTTTGGAGAATTTATTTTTCCAAAGCAGACCTACAAAATATACAGGGACTTCCAATATTCCGTGGACATAGAACAACTACGTATTCTTT